ACAGCTGTATACATGACAGTGTTATTGATACATCTGGATAGAAGTGTCTGATTCTACAGCTGTATAGATGACAGTGTTATTGATACATCGTGTATAAAAGTGTCTGATTCTACAACTATATACATGACAGTGTTATTGATACATCGTGTATAAAAGTGTCTGATTCTACAACTATATACATGACAGTGTTATTGATACATCGTGTATAGAAGTGTCTGATTCTACAGCTATATACATGACAGTGTTATTGATACATCGTGCATAGAAGGGTCTGATTCTACAGCTGTATACATGACAGTGTTATTGATACATCTGGATAGAAGTGTCTGATTCTACAGCTGTATAGATGACAGTGTTATTGATACATCGTGTATAAAAGTGTCTGATTCTACAGCTATATACATGACAGTGTTATTGATACATCGTGCATAGAAGGGTCTAATTCTACAGCTGTATACATGACAGTGTTATTGATACATCTGGATAGAAGTGTGTGATTCTACAGCTGTATAGATGACAGTGTTATTGATACATCGTGTATAAAAGTGTGTGATTCTACAGCTGTATAGATGACAGTGTTATTGATACATCGTGCATAGAAGTGTCTGATTCTACAGCTATATACATGGCAGTGTTATTGATACATCGTGTATAAAAGTGTCTGATTCTACAGCTATATATATGACAGTGTTATTGATACATCGTGTATAGAAACGTGCGATTCTACAGCTATATACATGACAGTGTTATTGATACATCGTGTATAAAAGTGTCTGATTTTACAGCTATATATATGACAGTGTTATTGATACATCGTGTATAGAAACGTGCGATTCTACAGCTATATACGTGACAGTGTTATTGACACATCGTGTATAGAAGGGACTGTTTCTACAGCTGTATAGATGACAGTGTTATTGATACATCGTGTATAGAAGGGACTGTTTCTACAGCTGTATAGATGACAGTGTTATTGATACATCGTGTATAGAAGTGTCTGATTCTACAGCTATAAACATGACAGTGTTATTGATACATCGTGTATAGAAGAGTCTGATTCTACAGCTATACACATGACAGTGTTATTGATACATCGTGTATAGAAGTGTCTGATTCTACAGCTATACACATGACAGTGTTATTGATACATCGTGTATAGAAGTGTCTGATTCTACAGCTATACACATGACAGTGTTATTGATACATCGTGTATAGAAGGGTCTGATTCTACAACTATATACATGACAGTTTTATTGATACATCGTGTATAGAAGTGTGCGATTCTACAGCTGTATACATGACAGTGTTATTGATACATCGTGTATAGAAGTGTCTGATTCTACAGCTATATACATGACAGTGTTATTGATACATCGTGTATAGAAGTGTCTGATTCTACAGCTATATACATGACAGTGTTATTGATACATCGTGTATAGAAGTGTCTGATTCTACAGCTGTATACATGACAGTGTTATTGATACATCGTGTATAGAAGTGTCTGATTCTACAGCTATATACATGACAGTGTTATTGATACATCGTGTATAGAAGTGTCTGATTCTACAGCTGTATAGATGACAGTGTTATTGATACATCGTGTATAGAAGGGTCTGATTCTACAGCTTTATACATGACAGTATTATTGATACATCGTGTATAGAAGTGTGTGATTCTACAGCTGTATACATGACAGTGTTATTGATACATTGTGTATAGAAGTCTGTGATTCTACAGCTATATACATGACAGTATTATTGATACATCGTGTATAGAAGTGTGTGATTCTACAGCTGTATACATGACAGTGTTATTGATACATTGTGTATAGAAGTCTGTGATTCTACAGCTATATACATGACAGTATTATTGATACATCGTGTATAGAAGTGTGTGATTCTACAGCTGTATACATGACAGTGTTATTGATACATTGTGTATAGAAGTCTGTGATTCTACAGCTATATACATGACAGTGTTATTGATACATCGTGTATAGAAGTGTGTGATTCTACAGCTGTATACATGACAGTGTTATTGATACATTGTGTATAGAAGTCTGTGATTGTACAGCTATATACATGACAGTATTATTGATATATCGTGTATAGAAGTGTGTGATTCTACAGCTGTGTACATGACAGTGTTATTGATACATTGTGTATAGAAGTCTGTGATTCTACAGCTATATACATGACAGTGTTATTGATACATCGTGTATAGAAGTGTGTGATTCTACAGCTATATACACGACAGTGTTATTGATACATCGTGTATAGAAGGGTCTGATTCTACAGCTGTATACATGACAGTGTTATTGATACATCGTGTATAGAAGTCTGTGATTCTACAGCTATATACATGACAGTATTATTGATACATCGTGTATAGAAGTGTGTGATTCTACAGCTGTATACATGACAGTGTTATTGATACATTGTGTATAGAAGTCTGTGATTCTACAGCTATATACATGACAGTGTTATTGATACATCGTGTATAGAAGTGTGTGATTCTACAGCTATATACATGGCAGTGTTATTGATACATCGTGTATAGAAGTATCTGATTCTACAGCTATATACATGACAGTGTTATTGATACATCGTGAATAGAAGTGTCTGATGCTACAGCTGTGTAGATGACAGTGTTATTGGTACATCGTGTATAGAAGGGACTGATTCTACAACTATATACATGACAGTGTTATTGATACATCGTGTATAGAAGTGTGTGATTCTACAGCTATATACATGACAGTGTTATTGATACATCGTGTATAGAAGTGTCTGATTCTACAACTATATACATGACAGTATAATTGATACATCGTGTATAGAAGGGTCTGATTCTACAACTATATACATGACAGTGTTATTGATACATCGTGTATAGAAGTGTCTGATTTCACAGCTCTATACATGACAGTATTATTGATACATCGTGTATAGAAGTGTCTGATTCTACAGCTATACACATGACAGTGTTATTGATACATCGTGTATAGAAGTCTATGATTCTACAGCTGTACACATGACAGTGTTATTGATACATCGTGTATAGAAGTGTCTGATTCTACAACTATATACATGACAGTGTTATTGATACATCGTGTATAGAAGGGTCTGATTCTACAACTATATACATGACAGTGTTATTGATACATCGTGTATAGAAGGGTCTGATTCTACAACTATATACACGACAGTGTTATTGATACATCGTGTATAGAAGGGTCTGATTCTACAACTATATACATGACAGTGTTATTAATACATCGTGTATAGAAATGTCTGATTCTACAGCTGTATACATGACAGTGTTATTGATACATCGTGTATAGAAGTGTCTGATTCTACAGCTATATGCATGACAGTGTTATTGATACATCTGGATAGAAGTGTCTGATTCTACAGCTATAAACATGACAGTGTTATTGATACATCGTGTATAGAAGAGTCTGATTCTACAGCTATACACATGACAGTGTTATTGATACATCGTGTATAGAAGTGTCTGATTCTACAGCTATACACATGACAGTGTTATTGATACATCGTGTATAGAAGTGTCTGATTCTACAGCTATACACATGACAGTGTTATTGATACATCGTGTATAGAAGTGTCTGATTCTACAGCTATATGCATGACAGTACCAGTGAGCGAAACATTCAGACAAGCATAGCTCGTTTCCGTACCTCGAATACGAGCTAGGGAAGTAGAACGTGTAGAAAATCGACCATTAACGTGTCGTGAATATTTCGTACATCCTATCGTTTCTAAGATCCGAGACATATACACCCGACAAGGAATACCGCTGTGTTCTGTGGGGATACCCATCCATAGTTCTTAATAGATCTGACAGAAAAGTGAAACCAAATCGTTTCAGAAAGCTGACTTCTGATTGGTCGAGGACCAGCCCAGGCTTCTTTTAGATTCAGCGGCCAAAGGTCACCAAGTTTGGTTCAGGTCTTCAGATCTTGGCTCAGACAAGCCTCATATAGATATGTAGATAGTCTGTACCCTGCCCTATGAGGGTGTTCAGTACAATAAAATTCTATTCTATTCTATTCTATTCTATCGGAGATCGGAGTTTACGTAAATGATATGGTATGTTCCGTGGAGACATGCATATAGCATATCGTATGACCAACGTGTATTTCTCACGGCAACCTATAATTACTTATAATGACTCTGATGTACACGATGACTAGCTCCAGACACACTTGCACATGTAATATACGGGGCGTTAACCGCAGTTGAGACGGAATGTCAGACGACACGATTATATGCAACTACAGTTGTTTAATATACCATGTTTGTTCTGTAAGATAGTTGATCGTCAATAGTCGTGATATAATGACCCAATTAGAACTATCAGTGGCTACTTACTGCATAATATTCTTCTCCTTACAAGGGTTAATCATTCTTGACATTATTACCGTGGGGGTATTGTACATGTCAGTCTTGTGTACATGTCGCAGTGGCAACCGTGGGAACATGTGATGTCTTCATGTCGTACGATATAGTTTGTTTGTGTGTTTGTTTGTAGTTTAACACCGCACCAAGCAATATTCCAGCTCTATGATAGGGGTCTGGGAATTATCGTGCCTTGACCATTCAACCAAGTGATTGATATCATGAGCATCGACCTTCGGAATTGGGATGCTATGACCAAGTCAGCGAGAATGACCACCCGATCCCGCTTGTCACCTCGTACGACAAGCATAGTCCCATTTTACGGCAAGCATGGGTTTCGTACGGTGTATAGCATAAATATGTAGAAAGGAGTCTGGAAGTCACGTGACTAGTTACGCGTGACCTTCACTGTAGCCTTCGAATTTATGCTTATTGTTATAAGACATGTTGTAACCATTTAGTAATTTCAAACATTGAACTCTGATTTTACTGAGATTGCCATGTAAAGGAGCCGCGGTTCATTAACATTGTGTATCGAATTTATACACGTCTCGTTGTTTGGTAAATGACACAATACTGTTCGTGATGACAGGGCAGTTTAATGGCAAGTCACAGCGCCACAACATTGATATCACTGACATTCAGACAGGCTGGTAACAAGGCAAACATATAAGGTCTACCAAGTGCCTCCCTTCACAAAACTACAATAAGATTCCTCTTGAAAGTTACGAAATATTCAATATGCTTCAGAGTGATCAGTTATGGTAATGCAACAGATAGAAACACGACATTCAATAAAAAGAAAATAGTGTAAGCTTTATCCTGTTCCGAAATTGGACAGTTATATTCCAAATGAACACGCTTGCACAGCTAACTAAAGGTCAAGCTCAAGGTCTGTCACGCAGGGAGTATATGATGTAACAGGATAGCATTGGCTGTAACCTTCTTCCTTGACCAACATTTCGTCTCTGAAATATTATATCACACAATATCCTTCTGGACTCTAAAAATAAAAAAAATCCCTATTCTGATTGTGGAATAGAGCTAACTTGAGGTGGCTAGACTTGCTTTTGAATGCGTTTCTAGATTTAATTATTTTTCATAAAATATATATATTCCACTCTCATGGTGCAGGACAAGCTTCTTCCTTGTGTGTGGCGATGATTCAGGGCTGGTTGACAGTGTCATTGTTTTGTTGTTACACAAGTCAGCCCTTTGTTATCACACTCGAGTCCCACAATGCACCAGTGCTTCCAAAACCTTGAAACATGATCAGGGCGAACCGAGATTCTCACCGACGGGAACCTGCAGGGAATAGTGGCGCACCAGACATAACCTTTGACCTACGAGTTAATTGACCTTTGACCTCCGACGTTCAGAATCAATGGCTGTGCTGACAAACATTGTCAGATATCACTTCAATAAGACGCTCCTACAGTGTGTCTGGAACCACAGGTCCTGACAATCGCAGATGTCCATGAGGTTGAAGAGGGGATCTCACCGACAATGATGACGTCATACAGGGTATTACATCTTCATTCTTTGCTGATACCCTGTACACACTCGCCCCATATTGTCGTTCCGGAAGTGACGTAACAACCCCAATTTCTGAGCAAGCAGATAATTCAACTCGCTCATGAGAATGACTTGATATTTTTAGCATCCTTCGGATTTTTCCGGGCTCAAGACGAAGGTCTGGCGAAGTCGTGTGTTTTCTCGTGGTAGTATGGTAAACATTTAGTTCGAAAAGGGGCCGAGTTTCCACCAAATGATGTGGCAGTCCAGTATTTGTTGATAAGAGCCCAGATTTATACGCTGATAAAGTAGAGTATACAACTGATAGAGGTTCGGTGGAGTACATTTATACGCTGATAAAGTAGAGTATACAGCTGATAGAGGTTCGGTGGAGTACATTTATACGCTGATAAAGTAGAGTATACAGCTGATAGAGGTTCGATGGAGTACATTTATACGCTGATAAAGTACTGTAGAGCATACAGCTGATAGATGTTCGGTGGAGTACATTAATACGCTGATAAAGTACTGTAGAGCATACAGCTGATAGAGGCGTGAAACTCTCGAATTTTGTGAAACTTGTACATTTCAGCATGGCATGACTTTAACAACAAACACGTGACTGCACAAACTGTGCAGTTGATAAGAAATCCGGCAATCTGCCTCGAACGTCCGTGGTGGAGCTTGTGAGATCTGTAGTGTATAGTTAGTGGAACTCGAGCAATTGCCTGTGCTCTGAGATAGCTAGTGACTTGTGTTAGTTATTTAGAGGGATATATGCGTATAGATTTCCTCCAACCATAAAAAATCAGCGAATTAAATTGATTACATGTGTATATAATTTTAGACCCCTGTTAATCCAGACGTCATGATTGGTTCATATCTGGATAAACGGGTACAGAATAAAGTCCTTAGTATATACAGTGGAATACCGTTAAACCGGATAGTGATTCCTGGGTAATTGTAACCAATGTCTCCTTGTATCCGGATAAACGAGGGGATGGGTAATGACTCCTTGTATACATGTAAGGATTCCGAGCGGTAACCACCTTGAAGGTTAGGTGTCTGGATCAACGGGGCTCGAACAAACGAGTTTTTGTTTAAGATGTTCTGCACAGTACGCGCCCTTAAAGATGGAGTTCGGCCTTGCTGCTTGTACTGTATGTATGTTCGGAAGATGACATGTGAGAAAGACAACATAATATGCTTTTCCTGACCTGGGCACACTAGCACAAAGCGATCTTAGCGCTAAGACTATCGTAAGTCTATGTTAAAGTATGGGAATTAGCATCATCTTAGCGCTAAGATAGCTTTGTGCAAGTGGGCCCTGGAATACACCTGAGTGCACCAAGGTGCCCCCATCATATTCCTGATTCAGCGATAGGAATTTCGAACACGTGCGTGGTTTCATTAGACACCTCCGTGTACGTGACTCGGCCACACCTAAACAGCTTCAGGAACTGTTTCCGAAACCTTCTCCCGGACAAGAAGTAGAGGTAGAAATTTATGGCATGGTTGGTGTCTGCGATCTGGGTTGTGATAGCGTTAAATAATCCCCTCCTTGCGTTACACATAAAGTCTTTGTCATCAGAACATAGCTGGTTGTAAAGGATGACGCACACACAACGTGGGATGGTGAGAATGAGGAATACAACAGAGAGGGTGACGAGCATGATGGTGACTTGTCGTTCCTGCCGTCGTGCCTCCATTTGGGCGGGGTCACACTGCGACAGCATGTGCTGTCGCTGCTCGGAATACCTCCTTAATGACAAAATGATGAGGATGTTAAAGATAATCAGACAGGTAGCAGGAAGGAAGGCATATATGGTAGCGCTTGTGAAGAACCAGAATGGGAATATGTGCTGGTGAAACGTCTCCTTCACCGTACAGGTATAACTTTCATAATGGGTGACTGTGGCGAAGATGTGGCTGTGGATGAGGCCGAGAAACAGGAACACGCCCACTAGGATCCCCACCGCCTTCTTCAGCGACCAGATCAGCCCCACCCTCATGGGGAACGCCACCGCCGTGAACCTTTCCGCGGATAGTATTATCAGAATCCAGTTTGCAAATGCTGCAAATGTTAAACCGAAGAAAAACAGAAACTGACATCCTGTTTCGTCGATTGAGAACCTCATTTGTCGAGATTGATTTTCAATAATCTTCAAAATGATGGTCAAATTGTCCACTATGGACAACACAGCGACGTAGAAGAAAGACGTGGTCAGCCTCTGCTTGGACATGTTGATGATCACGACCACGCAGACCACATTCCCAGGACATCCGATGACAAAAATGACCCAGATGTAGAAGACGTTAAGAAAGGTGCTTACAGCATTCAGCCTGTGGAATTCAGGAGGGTAGAATGGGGTTGTCACAGCGGGAGGCAGTGTTGTGTTTCCGTACATTTCTTTCACCAGGGTCTGCAGTGTGGTGTTCGCCATATCGACCTGTAGGCTGCTGCCTCTGAAATAAAAAATCAGACACTTTAAGCTGTCGTTATATACCAGCATAATCTGGACGTGATGACATAGGTTGAAAATAGAACATGGGGCAGATTTGGTTATGAAGAATTTAAGTGTAGCTTTCCCTTTGTCAATCTGAACTCTCTTGTCAATTCGCTTCGCGCTCAACGGCACGTAAGATGAAGATGACAAACCTTCCAGATGAAGACTTGTATCATTTACTGATTTATTCTACGCCCCCCCCCCCCCCCCCCCCCCCCCCCCCCCCCCCCCCCCACACACACACACACAAACACACACACACAACGAATAGGCTCGTAGTGAGTCTCCTCGTCAACTTCAGATGTTGTGTTTGGTTTTCAAGCGTCCTCAGAAAAGTATTGTTGGCTCGGTGTGGTTATACACACTCAATGTTCTTTAAACACCTTGGAACGTACAGGACACAGGGGGCAGTGTCCTGACATTCTACTTGCTGAAGACAAAACCATTAAGTCAAACAACGCAAGACACAGTGCCTCCTCGGTGTTACATCCAGCAACCGTGAGACCAGGTCAGTGTGACATTCATACAATGAGACCAGGTCAGTTTGACATTCACACAGTGAGTTATTTTAGCTCAGGTAGGAATTGGCTTTTTGACCGGATTGAACATGAGAGATCATTGACAGCACGAAGCCCCTTTTTTTGATTTTGCAAATCCAAGCAGTAATCCCGATTGATATGCGTAGAAAACAGATCAACAAGAAGGAAACATATTTGGTGCCCACTGGGAGACTTACGTCCTGCTGGACAGTCTTATCCCCAACCAGAGACCATATCTATTATATGGTCTCTGCCCCAACTTACTATAATAGGGTATAAATAAGTTGTTTTAAAACCGACCCAACGAGACGTTACTGGCGTTACACCAGCGTTACTCGGTACAACTCTCACTTACGTGGAGATAAACATGGCAGGTGCGCTCTCACTTACGTGGAGATAAACATGACACGTGCGCTATCTACAGATGGTTCTAATACATATCAGCTTCGCACTTCTGTCAGAAAGTCTAGAATAACAGAATAAACTGTTTCACAGTGATAAGACATGAAATCAGTGAGGTGAAATGTGGCTTAATCGCACGTTCAAGATAACTGCACCTTTATATAGAGACGAGTTTCACATAAAAAAACCACTCAGACACAGTATACTGACTCCGAGCCGACCAGTTCTTGATTTAGCCCATTAATGCCAAGTGCCGGGTAAAAACAAGTGCCAGTATAACTTATGTTTGACGCGGCCGGGAATCGAACACCGACTTTCGGCTCTCCGGGCAGACGCTCTACCACTAGACCACGGAGGCGGTCCCCGTGAAATCGGTAAACACTGCACAGGTTGATGTAACACACGTCCACGCAGCCCACACACGTGAGGGTGCTGACAAATGCATATCTATACCACTTAATGGCTCTGTTAATAAGTGTGTGAGTGAGGTGATGTTTCAGGCACAGCCATGTCCCAATGTGACCTTTGAGTAAAACATCACATGGAGAACGAAACGGTTAAAAAAACCATACGGGTCAGTTCTTTCTTACTGCAAAACATAATGTCAGATAATCTGTGATCACAGGGGGATAGCGGTCGTCATGTGTGTCAACGGACGAATCCATTTCTATTAATGAGGGGGACAGCTCTACAGGTATTTGTCAATGATGTTAACGACTGAACAGATAAATAATACAAATACATCACGTGTGTCAACGGACGAATCTATTTCTATTAAAAAGGGGGACAGCTCTACAGGTATTTGGCAGTGATGTTAACAGATTATGCACATCTACTGGGTTCAGGTGAGTTTTCTCCAGCGTGTGCAGCAGTAGTTACGCAGTGTGCGTTCATCTGGAGCCAAAGGTCAGTCTCATAGCAAGGATATCATAAACCGCGCACTGCATAAATTCGAACATTCCAAACAGTGACGTCAGGATGAGAACCACGCAACATCGGTGTTTATTCCGGGTCAGATTAACTGCGTTTGCTGTGTTGTTTAGAAATAGAAATATATCTAAGGAAATATTGTTTTGCTTTTGATCTTAGGTAAAAAGTGTACACAATTCGAATTAACTTCACTGTTGTTGTTTCTCAGGCCACTTAGGTTGTCGTGAAACGTGAGTTAGATCCCTGATTGAATATATATATATGTAACATGTTTATTCCATGGATGTAGTTACTTTCTGTGTCGCACCTACGACGTCTATTGTAAGCGTTGCAGTACCGGGAATAGTGTATGCGTGACTGCAAAAGCCGCCGAAATTACACAAGATTGAGACAGAGACAGAGACAGAGACAAGGACTGGAAATAATATAATTAATTGTCCATGTACCTGACAAACAAATCTACACAGGAAACAGACACAAACTATATCATGCACGACATTTTTACTCAATATTAATCGATGTAGATGTACAATATAGACATATTCGTTTATATACAGCAGAATAGTGGCTACACAGCGTGTAGGAGTAAATAATTGGCTCCCTGTTCCGTCACTATATTTACGAGGGGTGTTCATTGAATATTTCCCCTGACCCAATTCCGATGGACCTAGTGGAATGAAACTTGGCATAGGTATTAGTCTTTCTCCACATAGGAACCACCAAGAGTTACACATTCTCCCATCGTTTTATGCAACTATGGAGACCTCGCTTGTAAAAGCCCTCATTTTGCGTCTCAAACCAGGACTTGACTTCAGAAATCAGTGTTTCATCATCTGTGAAACGTTTTCCCTTCAAAAATGACTTCATGGTTGGAAAGAGGTGGAAGTCAGATAGTGCAAGGTCAGGGGAGTAAGGAGGATGTGGAAGGATTTCATAGCCACAGGACCGCGCTTCTGTCTGGGCAACATGAGATAGTTGTGTACTGGAGCAATGTCTTGCAGGAGACGGACACCCTTGGTCAGCATGCCACGCCTCTTAACCTTGATAGCGTCCCGCCATTTCCGCAGCAGTGAAGCATAATAAGCTCCTGTAATTGTGGTACCCTGCCAAGAAATCCATCATCACTACTCCTTGCTGGTCCCAAAACACCGTGAGCATGACCTTGCCTGCAGAGGGTTGGACACGTGCCTTCTTTGGGGGTGGTGACTCCACATGCTTCCATTGCATCAACTGAACTTTAGTGTCAGGATCATAGTGATGGACCCATGTTTCTTCCTGTTTAATAAGTCTGTCAAAAATGTTTGCCTGTTTTTTTTTTGGCACATGTCCAAAAGATCATTTGAGCAATTGACTCGTTCCTGCTTTTGGAAAGGTGTGAGCAACCTGGGAATCCATTGTGCAGACACCTTATGCATGTTCAAATTGTCATGGATGATTTTTCCACAGACCCTACACTGATCTTGACATCTTGTGCTAACTGGCGAACAGTTATACGTCGGTCTGCCAAAATGGCGGTCTCCACTTGATGGATAGTGTCCTCATCAATGGCTGAATGGGGGCGACCAGGAATGGCAGCTGTTTCCACAGATGTCCGACCACACTTGAACTGGCGATGCCAGTGTTTAACAACGTCAAATGATGGGACATCTTCCTCATAAGTTGCTTTCATTTCATCGAAAGTTGCTTTTGGTGTGCCACCTTTCAAATATAAAAACCTAATCCCTGCTCGGTATTCTACTGGCTCCATTGTCACACACTACTCGATCATAACACCTGTAAAAGTGGTAAGATTAATAAGTTCGGTGCTGCAAATTCAGATATAACCCATAGATACATGTATCATTACACATGTGAAATTTCAACCAAATATGATAACCCTAAGTGGTTTAGGGGAAATCTTTAATGAACACCCCTCGTATGAAGGTGAAATAACACCTAGTGTAATCTGGAGGCAAATCGCGGCCACATGTGGAAAAATGCGATGCACAGCGCGGTGATCACTGGCCCCAGTAACACAAGTATATTTACTGCATGACAAACTGTTGCTTCATCTCAGGTGCGCCGGTTCTATAAATGATGGCAGTTGAGATGTACCAGACAGAATAACACTAGTATTTGTTGTGATAATCGGAAGAGTTGCTGCAGCAGAAATGCCCCATTTGCTGTTTTTGTTTTATCTAAACAGTTTGCATGTTTCTTTCTCGTGTTTGAACCAGATTAATATGACTTGCTCCTCTGAAGAAACAGTGATGCGAGCTCAAACATCTTATCTCCGACCAAATATGTTTATGATGTTATGATGAGGTACCCCGCTCTGGGCGGAGCTGTCTATAGACCGTGTTATCAGTGCAGTACACTCTCCCTCGCCGCGCATAACGAGATGAGATGGTGGTAGTGGCAATGGATGGTAGGAGTAGGAAGGGCTGGCGACAGTGGTAGTGGCAATGGATGGTAGGAGTAGGAAGGGCTGGCGACAGTGGTAGTGGCAATGGATGGTAGGAGTAGGAGTAGGAAGGGCTGGCGACAGTGGTAGTGGCAATGGATGGTAGGAGTAGGAAGGGCTGGCGACAGTGGTAGTGGCAATGGATGGTAGGAGTAGGAAGGGTTGGCGACAGTGGTAATGGCAATAGATGGTAGGAGTAGGAGTAGGAAGGGCTGGCGACAGTGGTAGTGGCAATGGATGGTAGGAGTGGAAGGGTTGGCGACAGTGGTAGTGACAATGGATGGTAGGAGTAGGAAGGGCTGGCGACAGTGGTAGTGGCAATGGATGGTAGGAGTGGAAGGGCTGGCGACAGTGGTAGTGGCAATGGATGGTAGGAGTAGGAAGGGCTGGCGACAGTGGTAGTGGCAATTGATGGTAGGAGTGGAAGGGTTGGCGACAGTGGTAGTGACAATGGATGGTAGGAGTAGGAAGGGCTGGCGACAGTGGTAGTAGCAATAGATGGTAGGAGTAGGAAGGGCTGGCGACAGTGGTAGTGGCAATGGATGGTAGGAGTGGAAGGGCTGGCGACAGTGGTAGTGGCAATGGATGGTAGGAGTAGGAAGGGCTGGCGACAGTGGTAGTGACAATGGATGGTATGAGTAGGAA